GACCAAAAATATATCAGATTCGGGCTCCATTAGCAACCTTAATTAATTATACATATATATTAATTCATAAAATACCGTTTTATCATTTATTAAGCTTTAATGTTGTGATAGGAAATAGGGTGAGAGATATTTTGTAGCGCTCGGGAAATTGAAGGAAAAAAAAAAGGAGAGGCCACGTCAGCAGCCACGTCAGCAGACCCAGTCAGCAGTCCCGGCCAACCGGGACCTGCCACGTGGCAAGACCACGTCGATCCGGGATGGGTCACGTTGGCGATCCGCGTATGCGCGATCGGACGGCCCAGATCAAGCGTGCGATCGGGCGGCCCAGATTCAATCAAAAACAGACGGTCCAGATTAAATCAAAATGGACGGCTGAGATCAAAAGACAAAAGGGTATAAATAAGACCCCCACACCAGACCACAAAACCCTAGCTGCATGCCCTCGCCGGAGAAGACGAACCAGAAGCCGGTCGCCGCCACCCGCCGCCGCACCGGAGAGATTTTCGACCGCCGATCGAGGTAAATTTCATACCTCCGACTCGTTTTTCCACGCTGATTTCCCCTGTGGCCAAATTGGAGCTAAACGGCCGAAAAACATGGCCGAAATCCAGCGGCGCCGCCGCGCCCCTCCTCGATTTTTGCCTCCGATGAGGCCCTTCCCGGCCTCCGTTTAATGCAATTTTTATATCACCGTAATCACCATTCTTTTCTCTACAGGTTGATCAGAGCCGAATCACCAAAACATGAACTTCACCGGAGAACCGCCGCACCCGAGAGCACCGCCGCCGATAAGCTTCGGTTTTTCATAATTTTTTGGCCCCCCGAGGGCCCTAGAGTTGTTTAATAGCAAGGATCGATGCAAGTGTGGCTGAATTCGGCTGGAAACGGTCAAAAACGGCCAAACCGAGGTGAATTGCCACCGCAAGCGGCAGCGCCGTCGCCGGAGCACGGCGGAGCCGCCATGCCGAAATTGCGATATTGGCCAAAAAGGGGCCCTGGGCCTAATTTGGGATTTTTTGGAACACGTGCAGGTACCAGTAGTGCGTTTCAGTTCCCCGGAAAAAAATTCAAGGAAAATTAGGAACAGCCTGTAGGCGCACTGTGAAGCCGTGTTCGAACCCCGAAACGAGTAAGGACCCCTCACCCTATTTCCTATCACGCAATAAATGATAAAACGGTATTTCATGAATCAACGAATGTGTGAAATTGCTTAAGGTCGCTAATGGAGCCCGAGTCTAGTGTGGTTGTCGGTTAATTGTTATTTGCAATGTTTTACAGTTTAAAAGTAGTATGAGGTTTGATGTTTTCATTTTATAGTTTCGTGTGCATATTTTACTGTTTTACCGATTATGGATTGAATGACTGGGATATTGATGCTGTATGTTTGTCTGTTTGGCATAAATTACTGTTTTGCTTGTTTGTATGTGGATTGATGATGTTGACTGAGGGAAAAGAGAATGATAGATTATGTAAATGGGTAATTGTATAATGTGGTCAGCCTGACTAGATATCCTGGGAGATGGTGGACGGATCGGGTCCGTAGGGAACCCTACCGGGATTGTGGTCTCCCATACCGGACGGGGTATGGAGATCTTATGTGTTTTGGCGCCCATACCGGACGGGGTATGGGGACGGCCCGTTTCACCCTCATACCGGACGGGGTAATGAGGTTTATAGTTTTGGCGCCCATACCGGACGGGGTATGGGGACGGCCCTGGAATATGATTTCAAGTGTTAAGGGTTAACGGGTAGCGGGATCCCTATGGATCCCCATGGATACTAGTGTTCTGGTAAAAGAGGAAAAATATGTTGTGTAACGATTGAATTACAAAAGGCTTGATAAGTATTATGTTATACAGTTCATATATGATTTCATGATGATGATAATGTTATTGCTTTCGTATACTGTTTTATGGATTCCATCGAGGTAAGTGGATGGT